ACTCTGTACAACTGAAATCAAATCAGTTAGTTTTTTTTTTTTTTTTCTTTTTTTTAACTCCAAAGGAAGTGGGCAATTGGCCAAGATAAGATCACGGCCCCAGCAATCTGGGCACAAATATCTTACACTCTATGAAGAGGGTACCTGGACTTTATCAAAACTCAGAAAATGCACTTGGTGGAAAATTGAGTTTCAGTCTGGAGAACCACTTGGCCCTGCAAAGGATGATTACAGCACGGGCCTACACAGAACTGTTCCCTCCTCATTGCTTTAGTATCTAAACCCAAAGCAACTTCCTCCTATTGTCCTATCCGCTTCAAAAGCTAACCACCCCACAGCTACATTTTCTCCATGGAGCTGCTTCCTAACAGTGTTCCCAAGGATCGATCTGCTCCTAAAACTTAAAAGCAGCCAGGAAATCTCAAGCCCCTGAGATTTAACAAGGTTGTGTGGCATGCCTCAACTGTCTCCTCTTTCACTCAAACCATAATCCCCTTTTAAAAATCTCAACAGAGACAGGGGGGAAAAAAGAATTGTATGCATGATAAAAACCCAGAGTGCTGAAACATGACATCCTGAACCCACTTCTCAATTCCTTCACCAACTCTCAGGAAAACATTAAGAGGAATGTTTTGTATCCGTTTATCTCTCTGTGAAGTAGCTTTTTTTTTTTTCTGTGTTGACTTGGTATGGTATGATGTTTAGAGTCTTCCTTAAGCAAATAAGGAGTAGGGAGTCTCCTTCAACTCAGCAGTTAAGTACACATCATGGTATTATTTTGTCTGTCTTTTATGTGTCTCAGGAGTAGCCTTTACACACTGTTGACAAAGGAAACCCCATTCTCATAGTGAAAACATCTCCATTTGTGTACAAAGAGGCCAAACCCTAGCAGCCTGGAGAATCTTTTCATCTCATCTACAATCCACATTGCCCACAATGTGAGTAGATCTACAAACCTAATGCTGACAAAAGTTCAGGATGCGGATCACGTACCTGAAACCCCTCTAGCTGGATGTGGATGGAGAAGGAGTCTTCGATGTCATCGTGACACAGAGAAGAGAATTTGTGAAAGTGTTGAGTGCTGTCATCTCAGCAGACAATTAGCAGGAATGGTGTGACTTCACTCTCTTTTGAGTGGCCAAACCGCATTTGTGAAGTCCTTTCCTATCTTTATGACACCTCGGGTAGACTCCATAATTGAGAGGAGGGTCATTTTTAGTGATTATACTCTAGGTCAACTTAAATTTCATTCTCAAATTCTACTTTGATTCTGTACAAAGCATGACCAGGCAAAGCTATTCCTTGGCTTCTAACAAGGAAGAGGTGAGTTCTAGTTCTCTTGTTCATCATAGTCCTCCTCCATGGGGCAGTTGTTAAGGAAAGAAGAGTCAAAGTTTCCCTTCGCTATCTGCTATGATGGCTTCCCTGGCTAAGTCACTAGGTCTTCTCATATTTCAGATGGCCCTATAGGACTTGGTCCATGAATAGCTTCCCTGATGGAAGAGCTTCCCATTACCAAAAGCCAGCCAGCCTCTTGGGGCAATGCGGGCGGCACAGCTCAGAACCCATCACTACTCACAGCACACTGCACTCTGTTGAGTGAACTCGACTGTCCTTGCAAACCTACACAAAAGGGAAGAAAGCTAGTCCACTGGAAGTCTCAAAGTCTCTCTTCCTGCCTTTCCCCTCTGTTCGGGTTACTGCCTTCTGACCTAGAGACAGGCTGGTAGGTCTGCCTCAGCAGACCACCAATCAAAAAAGGCTAATGCTAGGCTGGCCTTCTTGCAGGTATCCCATTCTGGTGGGTAAGTATTGGAATTTCCTTCCAACTTTTTATATGAAACTGAGTGGTGAGCCTTTCTCCTCTTCTGTCTTTCCCCATCATCCTGTACAGATTGAAAAGCCTGGTGTGGATGCATGAGTGGGTCACTTGTGGTACATTGGCCAGATTTGCCTTTTTCTCTCTAAGTTCTAAAGGGAAGACACTATCAAATCCCCATGGCTGCTCTCATAAGCCAGGAAAGTATCTTGTGCCTTCTCTTGGATCGGGAATCCTGAGCATCTATTATGAGATAGCAAAAAGAGTCTAAATTATAGGAAACTCAACACTATAGATTAGACAGTTTATCCAGACATAGGAGTAGCAGTAAACACACTACTGGAAATAAGTCTCATACAGCTAAAAGAAATTCTCAGGATTATACAAAATACAGCACAACCCTTAATTCCACCTATTATCTACTCCCATGTAACTAACTGTCCATTGGCCTATGAGACATTAAGATGTTTCTGCCTGTTTATTAAAATTGCCATGTTGGGTGTCAGGGTATATAGCTCAGCTGGTAAGGAGCCTGACCAGTCTGTGCATAACCATGAGTTTGATCCCCCAGAACTATACCCCCAAACAGAATTTTTGTTGTTTTTCTAATTTCTGATTTGGACACTATAACTTTGGGTGCTATATTCCATAAAGTTTCACTAGTCAAATTCTGTTTCTGTTATTTATAAAGATTATTTGGGGGCTAGGAAGGTGGCTCAAAGGGCAAAATGCCTGCTACGCAGGAATGAAGACCTCAGTTCTGAGCCCACCACCCATGGAAAAGGCCAGATGACATCATATATCCCCAGCACTGGGCAGGAAGAGACGGGAGGATCCCTGGAGCTTCCTGGCTGTTCAGTCTGACCAAACTAGTGAGCTCCAGGTTCAGGGAAATGTCAGATCTTGTCTCAAAAAATAAGGTGAAGAGCCATAAAGGAAGCATCAACATATGGCCTACACACACACACACACACACACACACACACACACACACATATGCAGGCCTACACTATCCAAACACACACAAAATCAGAAAGATGATTTCAACTACATGTATACTGTTCTGAACTGTAAAATTCAAGGTCACCTCAAGGAAATAAACCTTTAGCTTGAAATACTTTTAAAATAATGACTATACCCAACTTATCTATTTTAATACTGTTAAGTCTACTCAAAGGGCTTTTGCCAAGATGAAAGTAAAAGTATATTTGCTCATTTTTGAGTTTCCTAAATCTGTCTCTATGTTACTTTGCCTGTATAATCATCTCACCTAGTAAGACAAGTATATTTATCTCCCTTTTAAAGAGGCAAGCATTCAGATACCAAAGAATTGAAAAGAATCCCAACACCCAAAAGATTAGCTGAATAAGAGGAAAAACAAGATAGGAAACTCTTCTTTTATCTCAAGATTGGGATAAAAAAGACCTTAATTACTTGAGTGGAAGCTGAAGAAATGGCCAGTGTTGTTCTGTGGATGTGCAGATTCCCAAACGAGCCCCCACTTTCCATTAGTTACGAATTGGATTCCAGGAACTACTCCCTTAATTTCCCAGGATTATAAGAGTGTGGTATTTTTAGATACACCCAACAACTATTTCTTCAAATCACTGCACTAAACCATTTTAGAAGATAATAAGAGCACTGCAAGTGCCCATGGTCATTTTTGGTATAACAATACATCAGCACATTTCTCTCACATTATCCTTGGTTTAGAAATGCTGAAAGAAAATGTAAGAGACTGAGTCATTTATTGCAAGTCTTATAGCTAAAAAGACCCCATTTGAGACTCAGATCAGGGCATCTCACTTTCAAACCTATGTGATCTTCACTGCGGTGTATTAAATCTCCTATGGCACGTAGCACATTGCATTGGACAGATAGTTACTCGTTTTTCAACTTGTGAGGTTCTAATGTATACCTTATCCTCTTTGATTTCCCCAGTGGCCCCTGAGGTAAGATAAGATATGCTACCTGTATTAAAGATGAGGAAATTGAAGCTTAAAATAGTTTACTTTCCAACTAGGAAACAGTAGACACTTGAAGCCAGCCCTCTGACTTTGACTTTGCCTCCAGTTGACATTCTCCTCTACCACCCAGAAATTTATCCTCCATAGCTCAAGTTCTTATCCTTTATAGTTAAGAGCTCAATGAAACCAATGGAAGAGAAGATGAGTAAGACAAGGCCTTAACTCCTAGGAAAACCCCTGGGAAAGAACCCACCTTTCCTGCTTTGCCCACAGGCAGCAAGAGAACTAGGAAGATGGGAGGAAGCACCAAAAAGCATAAGAGTCACTTATTCTAGAACCCAGCAATAGAGTATGATGCATCTTTAAAAGCATCTTTAAAATGAAGGAGCTGAAAGGTCTTCCAGAGCAACAGAGAGACCCAAAGAAAAGGGAAGTAGCCCTGGAATTTAAAAACATGCATCCCTCAAATTTCATGTGCCAGAACTCAACCTCAGAAGGAAAGGAGTGCTGAATTAGTAGACCCTTGGAGGAGCTGATGAGGCTGTAAGGTCTCTACATTCATGAAAAGGGTAAGTGTATTATGATTAAGCTTTAGAAAGCCACCTCCCTCTTCTATCTCTTCTTCCATGAAGAACCCAGCATCCTATCACTCGTGAGCCTTCTGCTTCCCACCCAAAGAGGTCGAAAGCAATAGCATGCCATTTTGGTTTTCATTTTACATATTTGTTTTTAATTATATGCATGCATGGGGGGGTATGTGCATGTGCATGCCTCTGGAGTCCAAAAGAAGGAGACAGATTCCCTAGGAACTGGAATTACAGGCTATTGTGAGCAATCCTGTGTGGGTGCTGGAAACTAACTCAAGTTCTCAGGTTCTCAGGAAGAGCATCAAGGGCTGAGCCATTTCTCCAACCTCCAAAATATCATTTTGGAAGTAGTACCTTGATCCTGGACTTCTGGGGGTCCAATAGTGAGGAATTTCTGTGGGTTTTAAATTGGTCCATCTGGCTTATTTTTTTTACAGAAACAGACTGAGACAGGTGAAGAGGACAAAATGCTGAAGAATTTCTCAGACACTTCTCCATATCTCAAAGGAAGCTCCCACACATGGTTATAAGATAAGGACTGGCAGTGTAGAAATCTTGGCATCTCCACCAGTCAAAGCAGGCAAGAGATACAGACGGACTGGTCATAAGCAGAAGATGTAGACTTACTGTAATATAATGACACGTGACTGGCATGACAGCCTTGACATCAAAGGTGCTTCTTCAACCACTGCTGGCAAACAGCCTTCTCATGGTAAGTTCTTTCTTCGATACAGGTAAGATACAGGAACATTCATCATCTCACCTGTCGCTACAAAGTGAAAGCAAAAGCCAAGAAGTGAAAACTCTAGCTGCCTTGGGAGTCATGGCATACCTTCCCCCTTCAGAAAAGATAGTGACCAGCTAAAAACATGGCTTACCACACAAAAGTGCAGCAGATATTTTTGGACCCAAAGTAGACCGCCCCTTCTGAGCTTCTACCACTAATGCCAGGCTCAGGAACAGGACTCTAACAATGGTCCTTTGGGAGACATTACAGACCCAAACTATTACATATCCACAAGAAAAAAATTAACACATTGATAGAAGTGTGTTTGGTTGGGGCTTCTGTTTTTTTGAATTGCCAAAGATCAGACTTAGGGCCTTGAGCAAGCTAGGCAAACGCTCTATCATGAAGCTACACTCACATCCACTAAACATTTCATATTTTGCATAGCATGCCTGGGAAAAAGATCTAACTCTTATGTAAGGACAATGAACTGTCTGGTTGTGTGTCACTGTGAGACAGCTATTATTACAACCATCCCCCACCTAAGGAAATCAGAAAGTTGAATCATTTGTTCAGCATTGGGAAAATGAACATGCAAACGTGACCTCTCAACTGGACTACCAACTCAAATAAACAAAAAGATGCCTCAGGAAGGAAGTGCCCGCACTATGGCAGGGAATATCTTCCCATCAAACTCAACACTTCAAAGGGCCATGACCTTTGAAAAGGGCACAGTGGTTTACTTTCAACAGAATACAAAGAAAGAAGAACATTAAAATTACAGTAAAACTTACATTTTTGAGGAAATGTTGAAGGACCAAAAGCCAGCTTATAGGTGATTTTAAGGAGCTAATTAACAAAAGCCTTTAATTGCATAAAGAGTTTGTCTTGGTTTCATTCTCTATTGCTGTGATAAAATATCCTGAGAAAAGCTACTTAAGAGAAGAGTTTTATTTCCTCTTAGAGTGCAAGAGTACAGTCCATCATTATAGGGTAAGTCAGAGGCAGAAGTCTGAGGGAGTTGTTCACCTCACATCCACAATCAGGAAGAGAGAGCAATACGTGAGTGCGTAGCTCACTCTATTTTATATAGTCCTGGATCCCAGTCAAGTAATGTTGCTATCCAGAGTGGAGAGATCTTCCCACCTCAATTATGCAATCAAGATACTCTCCAAGAGACAATGCCAAAGTGCCCCCAACCCTGGCAATTCTAGATTCAAGACATCAACAACTGACACCAATCATCACATGGTTATATAACTAGCTGCTCTCAACCATAGACACGATTTACAATTGGTATCATAAGCTTTAAAAGACAGCTGTGAGTTGGTTTGCTTGTTTACGGGCAGGCTGTTTGAAACAGGGTCATTCCTAGCCCAGGCTGACCTCAATCAAATTCACTAAGTAGCTAAGGATGACGTTGAACTCCTGGCCCTCCCACCTCCACCTCCCAAGTGCTGGGACGACAGGTGTTTACTAACATACCCAGCAATAGGTAGGTTATAGAACTGCAATTTAGTAATGGGACAAACTAAATTACCTATAAAATAAGAGATAATATGCATCTACCCATGATAGGTCTACCAGATGGCTGAGAAGCCTCACTTGTATAACTTTCATACAAACTGGGTACTCTCTTCCATTATTGCTCAAAACTCACCAGGGAAATAGGAGGGGCTTTGAGCTTTGAGTGCCAACAATAGTGGGTCAATCAATGAAGACACCCTGTGTATGCTGTTGACACATGATGTGACAATTTCACCTGGAAACTGTCTGAAATACACCCAAGAACTGTGTTGATAGCATGCAGCATAATGCCCCTTTCTAGTGACCTAAACAATTTCTTTCCTTATGGTTGCTCTTATTCAGATTAATATTAAGAAACTGGGGGAATAAAAATGATATAATCTTTAGGTATCCATTCTTAGCAGTTTGGTTTATAAGGTAAGATTTTCAATTCATTTCATATACATTCCAAACTAAGCACATGGCCCAAGTATTAAATTCTGTCCCCAGCCTTTACTCACTGCCTTGTGCTATTTGTCTTATGCAAAACTTGAAGCTAAAGAAACAATATACTTATCCCTGCTTGCTGCACAGAATTTGTGCATTCACAACACAGAAGTCAGAACAATCATATTGGGAAAAAGGGGACAAGTCATCAGCTCAAACTATTAGCTCTTCTAGACTTTACTGAAAATGAGCTTCAGATGAAAAATAATGTCATAAGTGACATGAGATGGTGTCCAAGCACATGGTGACTGTGATGACTAATACTGACTGTCAACTTGACAGGGTGTGGAATCATATTGGAGATAAATCTCAGCGTATCTGGGAGTGAGTTTCTAGTTTAGTTTAACCAAGATAGGAAGACCTACCCTAGCGGAAGACACCAGGCATGGGCTGGGATTCTCACATGTATAAAAACAAGACATCAAGATGAAGCTAGGCACTCTTCACTTTCTGCTTCTTGAATACAGACATAATGTGGCCACATCCTCCTGCTGTCACCACCACAATTTCCTTGTGGAGAAAGATCTATCCCATCAAACTGTAAGGCTAAACAGACTCCCAATCTCCCTTACGTTGTTTGTGTTATGCATTTTTGTCAGAGCAGCGAGGAAAGTAACTAATACAGTGTCTGGTAGAAATACCTGATTAGAAGTGAGTTGCCAGAAAGTCTACTGAATTAAATATATAAGCATTAGAAGAGTTTTGCTAATCCACATTCCCCTCGCTTTCCAAACACACAGGCACGAAGACTAGAGACAGCATTCACTTTGGCAGCATGGACATTAACACTGGGTCAATGCAGAGAAGAGGAGCAGGGCCCTTGTACAAGGATGACACAGACATTCACGAACTGCTCTGCGGAGATTCATCTTGACTGCAGGCATGAGAGGATCTGGAATCAGCCAGCACACCAAGCTCTGAGGCATGCATGTGGGGTGATTTCAGAAAGGCTTACCAAGTGAGAAAATTCAGCCTGAATGCAGGCAGCACCATCCCATGGACAAGGGTCCCAGACTACGTAGAAAAGAAAAGGTGAAACAGCAGCATTGTCTCTCTCTGCTTCCTGTCTGTGGGTGCTATGTGACCAGCCATCTCACCACCACACCTTCCCTGCCACGAGGGACGGCACCTTCAAACTGTGAGCCAAAATAAGTCCTTCCTTCCAAATGAACTTGTTCCTGTCAGGTATTTTATCAAAGCGACAAAAAAAAAAAAAAAAAAAAAAGTAACTATTAACCACTACTGTTCATGCTCCACATTTTAAAAAAAAAAAAAAAAGGAGAATTATGGGTAAACTGTAAATGCTCAATAAAATTATTGAAGCAATTTGAATAGGGATAACCTTCTATGAAGTGACTGCCAAACTACAAATTCAAAGGAAGATGCTGCTTACAATTCCCCACAAGACCAGAGCCCTGGGGTAGACGTACTGGGACAGAATTGCGCTAATGCCTCCGGGCTATCAAGGGGACATTCACAGGACAGAAGCCTCAGAAATACGGCAGATTTGCCAAGCCTGTGGTTTGGGTCCCTGAACCAATGTCAGAAAATGAGCCGCTTGTACTGACAGTGAGGAATGGGAAGGGGGAAAAGGAGGCCACGAATCCCAGAGACAGACCTCTGCCTGTGTGGGCGTCACGATTCCCTCTCCCGACCTCATTGTCCTCTGCTATTGTTTTTTTTTAATGACAGGGGAAACAATAGCTGACTCCACAGGAGCCATTTTCACAAGCCAAATGTCAAGTAAGGGCTGGCAGGGCCAGGGCAAAATTAAAAGTGACGGAGGGAAAACCAGCTCACACCATCTAACTGCTCCAGGCCCAGGGGGGTTGCCCTTGGGTGGAAGCAGCCTGTCTATTTTACTGGCCCTGCTGGTGGCAGGAATCCCAGACTGAGGCAATGCCACCTTGAGCTTTTTCATGATGTCATGTACAACATCAAAGAGAGTGACCCAGAAGGGTGTGTGTGTGTGTGTGTGTGTGTGTGTGTGTGTGTGTGTGTGTGTGTATACCAGGCCAGAGGTCAGCATTGGTGTCTTAACTCAATCACTCACTTTATTTAGATAGGGTCTCCCAAGGGTCTCCTATTTAGATCGGGTCTCTGGAGCTGATTCAGCTTGGCTCCCCAGCCAGTGAGTTTCAAGGATCTGCCTGTTCCTGCTTTCCACCGGATTTACTGAGCCACACCACCACACCAGCTCTTGCATGGGTGCTGGGATCCGAACTCACGTTCTCATGCTTGAGTGGCAAGTACTTTACAGAGGGATCCTTTTCCTGGCCCCCAGAAGGGACTGTGTTAAAACTCACCACGTTAGTGATGTTCTTTTCCATGCAGGAAGCCCATGCACCCCAGAGCTCCCTAGACACTCCATGACTGCGGGAAGGTGGGTGAGGAACTCCCCTGTCTTTTCCTAATCGCCGGCAGATACTTCACTCCAGCCTCCTGGTGGCTGAACTATCGGCCTCCCCTCCCCTCCCCAACCACTCACAGTCCAATTCGGGAAAATCAGCAGTGAGTTGAGATCAGGAGAAGGAGCTGCAGGTGTTGGGGGAAAGAAGGCTCTCCACAATTAGCATTTTTCCTTTGAAATACCATCATATCCCTGAAATATTATAACTCAAGTGCCCTTAATTTTCTGCAGATCCTTATTTTGCAATGTGAACAAGATCCTCCAGCCCAGGGAAGAATCATCTCATAGGAAAAAGACTAGCAACTTGGAAGGCTCCATGTAAGCACTTGTCTTAAAACCCAGGCTCTCAGACGCAGACATGGATCTAAATATGACTCTAAGTTCAACAGCCCAGGCTCATACGCACAGTAAAGGCATGAGAGATGAGGATAGTTGCCCTACCCGACTCTGCCAGAAACTCACTAAGAGTTTCTCATTAGCAGCGAGCAGGTGTCTTGGAATAGAGTACCGCTTCTAGTCTAGACAGAACCACCCTGGATCTCAAAAATCAGGTGTGGGGGTAGGGGGGGTGTTTGCGCGCTCACACAGAGGGTGTCTGCCTTATTGGACATCAC